AGGCGTGTCTTCCAATAGAAAGTCATTATGATCTACAGGATTTGCTACGGGCTTGGTTATGATATCAATTGTTGTAGTCTTTTATTTCAACAGTATGATGAATTTACCGTTTGTAAGTATAGAGTTGAGTGGTTGATAACAGGGTATAGTAAATCAGCATGTAACGTATTGTGTATGTGAATTGGAGGATTAGTAGTCTGGTGAATAGCGTTTTGGGTGTTTGATCATTGCCCTATTTTACATTAAATGATTTGATTTGAAGTTTGCAAATAATAATTTATATTTGATTGTATTTTGCAGACAATACTATATTTTAGTATATGTTCATCAGAATGAACATATACTAAAATATTGTTACTTGGACATCGAGTGGTTGTTTTGTCAATCGCTGTGAGCGATCGGCGGAATATTTATTTTATAAGACTTGTGATTATTTATTGGATTGGTATTTGGCTACGATTATTTATGCAAAGTATTCACGGCAACTAATTAATTACTCGGTTGTGTTCGGTTGGCCTGCTCGCCTAGCCAGCGGGGTGGCGGCGTAAATTGATGCTAAAACAATGTGCACGGAAACGCGAGCATTGTGGCCAGCAACGTTACAAACGTTTGATGACATCCTGGCCGATCCAGAAGTCCAGAAAACTATATTTTACTTGAATTAGTTTTAATATGAGTTTGGGTAACGGGTTTTAATTCGCGGAGTTCGCGACATATATCAAGCATTGATCAGTCAACACTGCACTGTAGAAAATCATTGAAAGATCGTTTTCAAGCGATTCCGATGCTCAACTTCGTACACTTCCATGAATCTATTCGATCTATTCAATAGAAAAACAACCTAAAATATGAGGATGCCTAGGAAGACGCTTCAATGCTTAGAAATACAGGTCAGCAAAACAGTTATGATATTCTCAACGCTGGAGTCTATGCTTCTTGACAATCAGAAGCTCAACTGAAAAGAAATAGCATTTAAGCTGAATACTCTGCTTTGAGATCCTTTCTTGCATCACTCTCTGCAGAATCGATAGATTCATTCAGTACAGTCAAGCCCTGAATTATGCCGAACAACCCCATGAATTTCCAATTCCACCAAATAAGGAAATTCTTTGCTATTGGATTGAATGAATATACCTCATCGAAAAGATATTCATTTTCATGCCATGTATTTGGATCTTAAATCACTCAACTAAATATGTTCAAAAAAGTATCACAAAATGATAAATAAAGTCATATGATCTTCTCAACTGATTGCTTATATGCACGAACCATGCCACTATTAGAACATTTTTTTAGTGTAATTATAGACCAAACAACAATTACGGACACCCTCTTTTAGCGTTTCTGCTTCATTTCAGTGAATTTACCAGGTACCAATGGTACCACTAAGATGTTACAAGTATAAAAATTCTAAAATCTGGCCAAGCCACAGTTAGGGAAACAGTCATAACAGCTTAACTGTTTAAGTTGATTATATGAAGATGAATCAAAACAATCGGGCAATCAGTTTATTATCAACCACATATTCTTTTCAATATAATATAATCATCTCAATATGAATATGAATAACAAAAAACATTCGTAAAATTTCTTCACAACACCAAACAACAACAACAAATATTCTAATGATAACAACAATTACAACAAAATCCTTTCGAAACAATTCTTTTAATGAAATCAACAAAGTTACGCGGTTGTTTCTACTCGGAACAAGTGAAAATGAGATAATTTCCCTTCTCATCAGTCAATAAATTGCTCCCAATTGCATCTCTTATTCATATACTCTCATCAATAACCCCCTCTATGAATGGATAACTGCACAAATCTGACTCTGCATCAAATAAGAGCCATCTGAATCCGTTAAAATCCACACAAAGCCCTCCCCAATCGCTCCCTGATTTTTTCTCCCAACTCAACTAATGAATAAAATGTCCTCCTGGGATCAGGCTCTCACAAAAACACAAAAAAGTATCAATATCAATTTGCACGTAATATTTAATCAATCACATCGATTTGGTACATACTCAAAACTACCAAATGCAAACGATGTACACACAACGAATGTTAACTTTCACTCGAAATATCACCAAAGTTCACTAAAAACCTAATGGATTCAAATAATCCCAACTGAATATAGGAAATTGAAATCGAATTATCTCACCGAACGAGACTCATTCCAGTCATCAGTTCTTTTCTTATAATCTTGCTAGATCAACCCTGTTGAGCAATCAATCAATCAAGACATAAAATAAATGGAGAATTACCTTCAAATAATGAACATTCATGAGATTATTACAGCAACAAAAATTGAAACGAATGAAATCAATTCTTGCTGTGCTCAAAAACATCATACATCGCTGATTAAATATTATACATCTGCAGTTAACAACTTCATAATCGAATATCAACAAAACTGTTCAATGAGCTGATTCTCAGACAGACCGCCGAATGCGATCGAATTCGGCCAACTGAGAGCAAACAATTCACACGTGAAACTACTTGGGCGAGAGCTTTTTCAAGAGTGCTTGCGCCCCTTTCGTCGAATAATTCTTCAACGTTGCCAATGGAATACACTTCTGCAACATGCTCTTCGCTTCCTCAGAGCCGTTCTCGAACATGTGCAATAAGATGAAACAACCACGATTACAAGAAACCTGAAAATCAGATTAGTTATGCACTACCGAATGAAGATTTTTCGATCATTTTTCACATTTCCGAGAGAATACTCGCAAAAACTCTCCCAATCTGCAAATAAGTTGGTGAAATACCAACATAAAATTGTCCATATCATTTAAATTCATACGACTATTTCAAACAAATTGTGCACATCAAAATGTTCTCAAAAGTCAATGAAAAGTGTTTGTTTCCATTCTAAAATTAACCATCTATCTAGTACAGGGATCCCCATAGGAGAGGAAACTACCCCTTCTTGGGCAATTTGGAGGTGTCAGGGGATAATAAAGGGGGTTGGGGAATTAGTTCTGACATTATACATAGAAATAACACTACTGCAGCCAGAGGGGAACGGGGATAATGACGGCCTGTCACACCATCAAACAGGGTAATGAAGCACCCCAGCGTGAAAAGCACTGATCTAACAGAATCTAGTGATACATCATGAATGAATATACATTATGACTGCACAATAAAGAAAGCAATCAGCATTGCAGAACTTACCCACGACGAGAGTGTTGCTTCACCCAAACCCATTAAGTGATCGCTCAATTTCACGTCGAATTTCGAGTCAGCTTGTAAGAGCTTCGATATGACGAAGTGTGCATTCGGATGTTCAATAGCATGTAATCGCTCTGTATCGCACGGTATGAACTCTTCACCGCACAGCTTCGCGATACCTTCNCCGTTTCACCTAAAATAAATGCAGGCAATTTGATGAATCTCAAAATTTCTGTACTGCATCAATGCACAAAAAACTTCATTTTCAACTACAAAGGCATTCAGCACTCCAAACATTCATTTCACATAAACTTTCCACACCAAACACCGGACCATTTCAAATGGATAAACGCAAAATCGGTACAAATCAGAGGATATGACCACAATTTTTCCAATGAATCTCTTCCGAAAGATCGAATTACTCCAGAATAACGACCACTAAACTACTTGAATAATGACAATAAAAGTTTCACAAATCAAAAAAATCCATCAAATCTTCCAGATTACTCAAAAAGATAAAAACTCTGCTAATGTCTTTAATTCAGTTACCTGATGGTTCCAATATATTCAGCACGAGCAGTGCTGTGAGCGTATCGAACAACAGTTCATTCAGATTGGCACTTATATAAGTCATCAATGGTTTCGCGATTGCCCCAAACAACTGTGCGTATCGTTCCTTTGCATCCTTCTTACTGTGTGCGTTGTTATCACCCTTCAACAAACGAATATAAATGAATCAACATCGTGTTCTGATCGCAAACAATTTTCCCCAAATTTACGGTCATTATTATTATTATTATTATTATTATTATTATTATCAGATTTACAGTCATTATAAAAACTTTATTATTATTACAGTTATTATTATGAAGATCATGACGTATTTTGGTTATTATGTAAAAAATTTATTATTATTATGAAGAACATGGCATATTCTGGTTATTATTTAAAACCTCAAGAAAAGAAACCCCATTTCAAATCAATTAAAAAACACTCCAAATCCATCGAAATAATGAAAATGGAATAAATAATCTCTTGCACTCACTTCTTTGAAGATATCAATAGATCCTTTACCGAAATATCGTGGATCACGTGGATTGATCAAATAATGCAGCACACGCTCACCAAACTTATTCAACGCCACTGTTCCCACTTCGTTGGCTATTTCCTTGAATGAACATTCTCTTGAAATCTATTACTTTGCTTCATTATATTTGCACAAACTTCTCTAAAATATTCGCAAATTTCTTAAAATGAAATTTGAAAAAATTGCTTACAATCGCAAAATACACCTACCGAAACAATATATTTGTTCACCAAGACTGTATCGTCAACCGCATCAAAAATACCGATCAAAACACGATGTCCAAACTCTTCTAAACACGTCTTCACCACTAACGACTTGAAATTCTTCACAATCATCTGCAAATTTCAATATGTGTAGTCGACTCTAACAACTAATACGATAACTGATTTCATTTCAGAACAAACAAAACTCAGGGAAACACTCGTAAATGTAGCTCTAACCTTTCTCTCTTTGGCTGTGCCTCCCCAAATACACTGCAATGCTATCCGTGTACCGTCATTGGTATGGATAATCTGAAAACTCACAGTGAAATATAACGCAATCAAACTTTCACATAAAAATACAACAACAGATTCACATGAACCTCCCCCTAGAAATCATTAAGCAATATGGGAGAGTAGCCCAAAACCTATGTGCTTGCCAGATCAATAATCCAAGTTCGAATTTCATGAAGACAGAT